TGTTAACAGGTTAGCTGTATGCTCAACGCTAATTCACCTGTTAACAGGTTGGCTAGGTGCTAATAGCTGTATGCTAATATGTTAACTTGTTATGGCTCTATGCTAACAGGTTAGCTTTGCAGCTAAAATCAGAGTATGTCTCCAAATTCAGGTCAGGTTGGTTTAAAAACTATTTTTAGCCCGTGACTACATTTGCGAGAATAACTGATTAATTACTGTCTGTATTGTTAATAAATTCATGAATACCAAAACTTTTGATTTTATAGAGAAGCTAGATAAATCATCAGGACTTTAGATCAGGATCCGGGTACAACCTTGATTCCTGTGGGGCATTGTGGGTTTAGTTTATAAATAAATGACATCATGTAATATGTCGTACGGTTTATCTAAGGTTGGATTTATTTTATTTTAAGGTCTGATAAGAACCATGACCTTTGATTGTTGGTTGAAATGATTTAATTCCATTTTATTGTATCGAAGAAAATGAAGAGCGCTGATCAAACATTTAAGGTAAAACTAACACTACAACTGTTAAAATACTTAAAAGAAGAGAAACGTTTAAACTCATAGATGTAAAGAAGTGAAACGACTTGATCGAGGCTAACTTGTTTTTTATTTGCACATCCACCGAGTGTTAACAAACCCAACACAGTTAGCATCCAGGTCTACAGCAGGGGGCGCTCACGCACACGAAAGCTCCGAGGACGTTGGACAGGAAGGAAACCGGCAAACATCTGTACAAATCTACAGCCGCTCTGAAACGGGCTGCAGCTTCAGTCCAACCACGAAGGAGATCAGGCTGCGGGGAGGGGGGGGTCAGTGATGATGATGAAAGCAGCATCTTTATTCCTCTGGTTCCATTTAGTTTTTACGCTCGTTAACGTCCTCCGAACAGGGAGGAAGCAGGTGGCTCAACGTTGAACTCAGAATAAAAAAAATGTGCTTCTCAGACTCCAGTCGCCTCACAGTGAATCGTCAAAACACTAAACCCAAAGCGTCGCTCCGCGCGCGTCTCGTTAAGCCAATTAGTATAAAACAGCGCCGTCTGCTGGCAGACAAAACAAGGGGGAGATCGCAAACGTGCAAACAGCCTGAATCGGGTCGAGGGAGTGAAAACGTAGAGACATTAAAGGAAGTGAAGCAGAGGAGAGGACGAGGCTGCTAGAAAACATTTTATACACGTTTTAAATTACAGTTAAACCTTCAGCTTCAAATCTTAATGCTGCTGCAGTCGAGCTCAAACGTCTTCATGAAGAGTAAAATGATCAGATTTAACAGAAAACGATCAGCTGATAAACCTCAGTATTTTCAGGACCTTTTTGTTTAGGCCATGTTGACGCCAAATAAATAAATTTACGTCTACGGCGCCCTCTGGTGTCTTCAATCTGCAATAACAATCCAGCCTGCGCTCATCTGTGACTCATCAACTTGTTGAACCGTGTTAATTGTGTTTCTTGCTTCAGTGATGTCATTCTTTCTACAAGAGACACCTGTCTGTGGAGCAGCAGCATATTGCACCACGTCTCTGTGGATCTCTGACGGTTTCTGTAGCCGCGGCGTCGTGAAGACGGGATAAAGGACGCGGCCGAAGGCCTCGGTGTGAAACGCACGGCGCCCGCTGGCTTCAGTTTCCGACGGGCGTTCTGTCACTGCACTGTTGAAAAAGACGCAACGCGGCGATCCGAACGGTTCTGCCTCCAGGTGAGACCCGAATGAACCCGAAATTCATTTAGTTTGGCTTCAGAACTCTGACGCCCTAAATTTGACCTGGAAGCTCTTTTTTTTTTTCTGTCCAAGTGCTTGAACTGAGCTTTTATACGTTGCTGTAAGTTACCAACATGTTCCTAAAGTAAACGTTTCAGCAGATAAAGAAGTGATTGAAGAGTTATCAGCTGAAGGTTCTGTGGGGAGCACACGTTAGTTTGAAGGTTTAGCTGCTGCAGGATTGTTTTAGTTTTCAGCAGCACATCTGTCCTCTGCTTCAGACCACTGCGGGATGAATTCATCAAACATCTAGCTTCATGTTCGAGTCTCGTTTATTCCACATGGATTCGACTGTGTCCTCCTGAAGACGGTCCTCTGAGAGGAGAAAATGGCCGCTGCAGGCAGGAAGGAAGGAAGCGTGTGGACGTTTGAACAGAACCTGCCCTCGGCTGTCTGCAGACGTTTCTTGGTTAATATTCAGCATTTAGTTCGAAGCAGGAGGATTTTTTTTTTTCTGTTTCTTTGTTTTTCTTTTCAGACGGACATGCGATGAACTGCATGACAACAACAGCAACAGGAGGAACTTTTTTCTTTTTCTGTTTCTTCTTTTTTAAATCGTGCGGGAGCGTTCCATCCCCCGTTCACACAGACGGCCCGAGTCTCGGAAACGGACCGCTGTTTTTTCATTTACTCGTTTTAGTCAAAGAACTTGCAGATGTTCTGGTTGGGAAGAGATAATAGAGACGGAGAGTTGAACTACCATCATAACTGTGTGTGTGTGTGTGTTCTGTACACTGAGTCTTTAAGTCCCAGTTCGGTTCTCTGCTGGAGGCCCAGCTGGCTCCAGACCCTCCTCCTGGTCCTTCAGTACTCGCTCAGGTTGTGCCACTTGGAGATCTGCCGGCGGGGGTTTTCGCACACCTCCCTCCAGTGGGAGGTCCCGGAGGAGGACGGGCTGTGGAGGCCCAGCAGCAGGCGGCCCAGGACCTCGTTCTTGGTGGTCCGGTCGAAGTCGATCACCAGGAACTCTACGGAGATCTCGGGCAGGAGTTCGGGCGGGATGTCGTAGATGAAAGACTCGTTGAAGACCGGGTTCAGCGTGCACTTCTTCACGTGCGTCTTCTTCTTGGCGATGCGTTTACGGCCGTAGAAAACGTTCACCTTCACGTACGGATCTGAGGACACAACAACAGGAACCTGAATCTGAGTCCTTCTCTGCAGTGGGTCAACTCGGTTCTGCTGGTACTCACTGGCTGACAGACCCGTCATGTCCATCTTGGGGAGGTGTCGGGCCTTCAGAACCACCACGCTGAGACGATGGGACACCGGCTGGTAGGACAGAGACACCAGGACCTCCCCACGACTGTCGCACTGAAAACACAGAGAGACGAGGCGTTCAGAGACACGACAGAGACGCTTAGTTCACTGTCCTGGAATGGGCAGTGGTTTTACAACGATCGCTGCGTCCTTATGGCTGATGTCGGCAGGATGAAAAGAACAAGGCCGGAAAGTCAAAATCAAAAACATAAAACCATCAAGATGTTTAAAAAGATGACATGAAACCCAACAGACACAAGAAAAAAGACTAAAACAAGAAAACGCATCAAGATAAAAACCTGCCGGGACTCAGAAATTGAGCATTCTGCCATATTTTATTTTGAAAGGACTATAAGGTGGAAACTACGGTCTCAGGTGAGCTCAGCCTTGTTCATCTGTGTGTGGTGCAATATTTAAAGTATAATAAAAAAAACAAAAACTACTGTATTTTTCGCTGTATAAGTCGTGGTTTTCTGCATAATTTGCATGCCCTGCAACTTATAGGCCGAAGGGATGTATTTATGGATTTTTTTCTCATATTTATAAACCAATTTTTGGCTCAGATATGTTTTCACTCATTCCGACTGAAAAAAATTAACTGTACCATTTCCAGCCACTAGATGGAAGAGTAGTAGTAGCTGTATGGCATGCCGTTGTATCATGTAATAGGTAAAAGTGGATATTAATGACAAATTCAAAAAAGTTCAAGACAAAAACAACTGGACTTTATTTTTTTATACTTTATACGTTTTTATATTTGTCTTGAACTTTTTTGAATTTACCATGTCCTGGATGACTGAGAATCTTCACCAGCTTTTAAAGACACAATCGGCTTGCCATAGCCTCCCATCTTTGTTCTGCTTGGAGCAAGTCAAACCAGCTGCACTGCCCCAGCAAAATGCAGCCAATTTGACCATTAAAGTGCATTTATTAAGTACAAGTTCAACTGAGACACACCTTTACTGTAAAGTCGAGCAAACAAATTGTTTTTAAGAGTTAATCTTGATAAATTCTTGTTAAAGTCCTCCCTTTCACGCTCCTCCTATTTGGCAGCCCATCGATTTTTGGCACAACACCGGCCCACATTTCCGGGTTGTCAGCGGTGACGCATAATAGATGCGACGTAAATGGTGAAGTGACATATTTATGGATTTTTCCACTTTTTAGACATATTTGGACTGATGCGACTTATAGGGCGGTGCGACGTGTACGGCGGAAAATACGTAATTCTAACTGTAATTCTGCTTTAAATGCCGAGTCCTTTTACAGATGTAGACAAACGTGAATCCAGGTGAAAATGTATTTTACTCGTCCAACATTTGAGGCCCAGTCGGGTCTAGATGTCTCAGACAGTCCACCGTGAGGAGAAATAAAACAAGATGTCAGACTGTCTTATTAACTAAAACCAAACCTTCCCTCATCGGTCTGCTCTAACCTTCCACCTGAAAAACGGCTTCCTGTTTTTGTTTACCTTTACAGACTATGAGCCCTGAAAGTAGCTAACAAATGAAAATCCTTAACATGGTTTCCATATCAGCGTGTGTTTGGGATAAAAAACATCTTTTCAGCTTGGAGAACCCGAGGAACACAGCTGCTGCTCATGATCTACTCAACCAAGCAAACGAACATTCATCGATTCTGAAACCTACGAAGAGTTTGTCGTTAACCCAATAAAACCGGAACAGAGCAGCTGATTGTCTGAGCCGGGTCAGCCCGACCCGTCGCCATGGAAACGCCGACCCGGCTGGCAGCAGCATGTCATTCAGAGGGAGACAGAAGGAGGAGTGTTTCTCCTGCTGGGTCAGGTCCAGTTCAGCTCTACGAGCTGGTTTTGTTGTTCAACGCTGAATCTGATCAAAACTTTGGACCCACCTGCATGTTCCTCTTGGTGATCTGCTGGTTCAGGTGGACCCGGCCCGTACTCGGGTCCACGCCTTTCAGGGGCACCACGGCCTCCCCGATGACATCATCGCGGGCGAAGCGGTCGAAGCTGAGGACCAGGAAGTGCAGGGTGAGCTCGGGCAGCGAGCTGTAGGCCACGCCGTAAAAGGTGAAGGTTTCGTCGAAGATCGGGTCCAGGGTCTTCCTCAGCACGCGGGTCTTGACCCGGTGCTTCTTCTCAGGCAGGATGGTCATTTTCACGTACGGGTCAGAACTCTCTGCCTGCTCATCGACAGCGGGGAGGCCCCGGGCCCCCACGATGGTCACCACTAGGGCCTTCTTGGGGAAGTTGTAGTCGACGGTGAGGCTGATGGAGCCCAGGCTCGGTTCTGGTTCTGGTTCTGAGGAGGCAGGAGTGAACGGGGACACAGTCTTGCTGCTGGTCTGGCTGCTGCTGGCCGAGCTGCTGTCCAGGCAACAGTAATCGGCTCGGACCGGTAAGGCCCGCTCCAGCCGAGCAGGGCTGTGGGCGGAGCCTGTCCTGGCGGGGGGTACCAGGTGACTCATCTGCAGCTGACCCGGGACGTCCAGGACGTTGTTCTCTGCATCTACCAGCACCATGCCCCGGCCCGCGGCGCCGCGCTCTGAGTCCCGGTCTGAGCGTTCGGCGCGTCTGATCCCCCGGACGATCCGCTTGCTGCCACTGAGGGATTCTGGGTAAATGCTGATCCCCTTCAGCATGTGGATGAACTTGTAGGGGGGGTCCTCGGTGTCGCAGTACCGGTCACCGTGCAGCTTGTAGCGTCCAGTGACCCGGAGGTACCGACGCTGACAGAAGGACCAGAGCAGAACCAGAACCACCACGACCACGACCAGAACACCGGCTCCAAGGAAGCCCGCCAGCACCGGAGACATGGCTGAAACAGACACGGGGACAGATTGAGGACATTATTTATGATTTTCATGATAAACGTAAAAGCTGAAAATCTTTTTATGTCCTGAATCCTGCGGGTCATTTTGACCCCAGGGCAGCAGGACGGTCCCCATCAGTTGAACTTTTCTCAGCCTCTTCCTGTTCACAGCTGGACAGATGTGTGTGACGCATTCAGGGACGTCTAATAATGAATAAATTGTGTTGTTACTGTTTCAGATTTTCTGTACGGAGACAAAAACAGTCTTCAAGCTTTGAGTCATAATCCCCCAACAGAACAATATTAAATAAATCTTTTAGGAACCGTTTTGTGTTTCTAAAACAGAAACAACGTTAGGTTTACGTTTAAAACTGATTAAGACTTTCTGAACCTCTGGACCAGAAACACTGACTGAAAAAATAAATTGTGAACTTTAATAATCTGAGCCGCTGCTTTAACGTCTGAATTTAAAGATTTCTATGAGACAACTGTCTCTAAAACCAGGTTTATTTCAATAAGAGGATAACCTTTAAAGGTCTGTTTTAACACTTTAAATAAATAATTTATGATTTGTGAGCAGAACATGAGAACTTTACAATAATTGGGTCAAACGTTATAATCCGTATTAAAAGTGGAGGAGCCCTAACAGAATGGAGACGTCTGAAAACATTTAAAATCAGATTTATCAACACAGCATCAGGCTGTGGACAAACCCTGCAGAGGATGTCTTTGTCCTCAGGGGACAAAGACGGGGGACGGGGGCTGCACAGCTGCAGAAAGGAAAGCTCGCAGAGAGTGGTGAAGGCTGCACAGACGACTGTTGGAGTCAGTCTCCCCACCATCACAAGCATCTACACCTCCAGATGCAGGAAGAGGAACACCTGCATCATGAAGGACCCCACTCATCCAGCACACATTTTGCCCCACTCCCCTCAGGAAGGAGGTTGAGGAGCATTAAGTGTAGAACGACTAGACTGAGGAACAGCTTCTACCGTGAAGCTGTTAAGATTCATGAACATCTAACCAGGAAAATCACTGTAATTCATTCAACCTTTATTGATACAGGTTAATCCCATTGAGCCTCCGGGACTCATTTACAACAGAGACCTGATTAACGACACTAACTGGTGGTATGCGACTTTATCTGTGCTGCCTTTTAAACTTCTGTACTCGTTACCATCTGCTCACTACAGACTCATGTTCATGCTGCTGTTTAATACACTGCATTTTAAATTATTAGCGTTATATCTTAGAGCCTTGTATATTGTTTCTTTTTATACTTTACATTCTTTTTTTTTTTGTGCTATTTTTGTGTGTAACTGGGACCTTGAGTGCACGATTTCGTTCCACCTCATGTACCACATGTGATGCGAATGAACCTGGAACTTTGACAGAGGAGCATTGTTGCTGTGATTTGTCCCAGGAGGACACCGAAAACGGACGCATCCTGTGTGAAATGAGAAGAACCGACCGGCAGCAGCTTTAAACTGATCCAGAGGAAAACACACACACACACACACACACACACACAGAGAGACGTTTTTAACGTTAAAACATTAAATCTGACAGAAAAGCAGGTCCAGGCTGCTTCTTGTCTCTCTGAACTCCCAGCTGATTCAAATTTAAAACCTTCTTCCTCTCATTTCCAGCCTTCACTCAAATAGATGATGTCATGTTTTGGCTGAAAGCAGCTGAGCTCACTGCCTGGCAACACACACACACACACACACACACACACACACACACACACACACACACACACACACACACACACACAGGGCTGTGTGTTCAGGGGGTTAAAGGTCCACGGAGCTGTTCGGAACAAAGAAAGACAAAAGGATTCTTATTTTGTATCTGTATCGTTTTTAAAGTTTGATTTTTATTTTAACGTTCTGAACGTCTAAACTTGGAGGTTTAAATCGTTTAGATCTTCTGTTGAGTTTATTGTAATTATCAGCTGTTTTATTTCAACTTTAATGAATATTAATGTATTTTTGCTTCCATAAACTTCAGATAATTTTTAATATTTCACTCCAAGGATCTCTCGTTGATGTCTGAAGTGAAAACACTTCCTCTGCTTGAACGTTTACAGGCTCAGATTAGCATCAAACACAAGTAACTGAGTCTGGAAACACCGATTCATCTATAATTATTTTTATCCAGATTTATCTAGTAAATGATCAAATCTGATCAGCACCTTGTTCAGATAAAAGCAGCAGCCATCGAAGCTGGACAAGAGGGCCGTCGAGTCTCCGTTTAACCTCACGAGTCTCGGAGGCTCACAGATCTGAGATCTGCTCCGGCAGAAACCGCCTGAGGCTTCAGCTCCGAAAATAACTCCACAACGATCGATAAGAACGACTAAAAACTGGTTCGAGTCTGTTTATAAAACTTTACGGTCGGGTCAACTGCCGAGGAGAGTCCGAGGGGGGTCTGAGGAGAGTCTGAGGTGGGTCTGATGTGTCTGAGGAAAGTCTGAGGTGGGTCCAAGGGGTCTGAGGAGAGTCCGAGGGGTCTGAGTAGAGTCTGAGGTGGGTCTGAAGGGTCTGAGTAGAGTCTGAGGAGAGTCTGAGGTGGGTCTGAAGGGTCTGAGTAGAGTCTGAGGTGGGTCTGATGTGTCTGAGGTGGGTCCAAGGGGTCTGAGGAGAGTCCGAGGGGTCTGAG